CTCCGGTACCGGGAACCGAACTCACGACCTTGTGCATGCCAGGCAGGCGCTTTTGCCGCTGAGCTAAATCCCCAGCCCCCAGCTACGATAATTGTTATACTAATTTCTATTCGTTTATTCAAAGGAACATTAATGCTTATTTTTTGGACCAATTTTGCATGTTTATATCTGATAATCTGAGTGACTACTTTGAAGACACCAATATGCAATAAACAGCCATTGTTGAATGTCTACCATCTTGTTTTTGAAATTCTGTATCATTTCTAATTTTTTTTTTGCGGGTGTGCCAGGAATTGAACTCACGACCTTGTGCTTGCCAGGCAGGCGCTGTGCCTCTGAGCTATATCCCCAGCACTCTAATTTTTTAAAATTATTTTTTATTTTCTTTAGAAAAACGCTGGGAAACCACTCCTCGCCCCAACCCAGGATGGTCTGTATCGTGTGGGATTAGAAGCTCCGTCCTGCTCCCAGCACTGATGCTGTGGATGCTGATGAGACCGCAGGGTACCCCTGTGCCGAGCCTGCAGCGATACCTGCACCTTGACTCCCGGCTGGTGCTAATGCTCCTGCCACCCTGAGCCCTGCAGCCTCCGCTTCCACAAGTGTGACAGTGCCCCCACGCTCACCACGGCTGTAGGCGCACTCTTCCTACCAAGTCTCACTCACACAGTTCCTATCTAGAGCCCCCTAAAGCTGCACGGCCTCATGGGCAGGACCTCTGGAAGTTATGGAGTTCATAGCTAACTTCCTGTCTGCACATGTGGACTGTGGGCGTGACCCGGAAGTAATTCCTCCTGGAAGGGGCCCTCCCTCAGCCCTCACTTCCTGTCTGCCATGCCACGAGCAGCTGTTTTCTTCCCGCCTTTTCTGCCACCGGCTCTGGCTTGGAGCCCACCGTGAACAGACCAACTCCGAAAAGCAGGGCCAAAAATAAAGCAGTTCTGTGACTCTTATCTCAGAAGGAAAGGGCAGCACCGGGGAACCCAGTAGGAACACGTGCTGGCCAGGCTGTGGGGAAGGAACCCTTCTACGCTGCTGGTGGGAGCAACCATGATGGAGATCAGCATGAAGATTCCTGGGAAAACAAAAACTAGAAATTCCACTCAGCCCCCTTCTAGGTATCTTCCCGAAAGACTTAAAGACGTCTACTAATGTGACCCACGCACGCCTGTCTTCCTAACAGCACAAGTCGTAACAGCTACATCTTGGAAGCAGCCTACCTGTCCATCAAGAGACAAATGGAGAAAGAAAATGTGGTGTGTACACACAACGGAGTACTACACAGCCCTGAAGAAGGATAAACTTGTGTCACATGTAGGAAAATGGATGCATCTTGGGACCATGATCTTAAGTGAAATAACTCAGACACATGAACTTCAATATTGCATGATTTCTCTTACACGAGAAACCTAAAGTGTACAGAAAGAGCAAATAAAGGGTCATACAAAGTAGGGAGATAGAGATTTCTCAAAACGGATAGGGATCTAGACACGGAGGGACTGGGGTGATAGGGGAGGGGAGAGGAATTGAGACATGTTCCGGGAACGCACACACTCGGCAAGAGGGACATGATCGCCGTGTCCTGCAAACACTTAGCAATAAAACTAAAAGTTAAAGAATAAGATAACATTACCACCTCGTTTGTCACGAGGGCTTTTCTCGCCAGAATATCAGCGTACCCAGGCATATGGATCAAAAACAAAATCCCAAAAGACTAAGAAGGCAGCGGACAGTTGGGAAGTCGGTCAGTGGATGGGCTCGGAAAGCTACTCTGCGAAACTGAGTCCATAAAAGAAGTGGATTCAATTTCTGCCTAGTGGGCGCGGGGTAACGGTACATAATAATTGCACGTAACAGTACTGTGAAGCGCGGTGTGGTGCTTCTGCCTGTGTATGCTCCGTGTGATGACGGCTTTGTGGTAATTAGGATCCCTGTCTCTCACACATGAGTGAAATACTAATTACCCTGAGATTTATACTGGGGACTCCCGTAATCCTGTCCCCCAGCTATTCTGAAATATATAATCAATTGTTGCTGAATATCTTCACCCAGGGTGCTCAAAGACATTGTATCCAACGTTTTTTAAGTTAGAAGGGTACTGTGGATTGAAGGCGGGGTCTTCCCACTGAGCTACATGCTCACCCCTTTTTTATTTTCTGTTTTGATCATTTGTTTGCTCTTTTTTTTTTTTTTTGAGATTGGGTCTGACAGTGTAATTTAAGCTGGTCTTGAACTCACTATGTAGCCCAGGGTGGACTCAAACGTGCGGGGATCTTCCTGCCTCAGCCTCTGACTGCTGAGGTATCATGAGTGAACCACCAAGCCTGGCTTACTTTTAATTTTGAGACAGGCTCTTGCTAAGCTGCAGAGTTTCCCGGGTGCGGCTGGAACTTGCAGTCCTCCTGCCTCAGCCTCCCAGAGTGCTGGGATCATAGGGGTGCACACTGAACTGCTATGCACCTGCATGGGAGGTGGGGACCCCGACTTCCTGCCCTGTCTCCCGGGACCCACCCACTGTACGTGGGTGGGGGATCTGCCCCGTTGCTGAGGTAACCAGTGGGTTCCAACACGCAAGCCTCTTCATGCCGGGGTTCCTGTCGGGACAAGTCAACAGCCAGCCTGGCGCAATGCTAGGTGAGTATCAGGTATCCGGGCGACAGCCAGGAGCATTTTCTCCTTGTAGCGCTAGCGTACACCCTACCTTCCGTTTGTTGATTGCACCTTGCCATTTTGAGCTTCACATAGTCAATACTTTCTGTGTGGGGACCGCAGCACGGCTCTCATTTGCACCTGTGTTTGCAGCCATGCGCGGCTTCCCAGGGCCCTGGCGGCTTCAGAGAAGCTGGTGCAGTTTCCTGGCATTGTGCAAATGCGAGGGAGGATTTAGCTCAGCGGTGCAGGCAAAGTGGGGCGGCACCCACCGCCCACGCCCGCGTGGGAAGCCCAGCGTGAGGCTCCCACAGCCTGGACCTGCTGCAGCTTAGGTGCTGTACTCGGTACTCCAGGCTGTGGGACACGGCTAACCCTAAGATTCCACGGTAGCAACATGGGGGTACACCGTGGGAACAGGGTTCTGTACGGGGCTCCTCCCGACCAGGGAGCTGGGGGGACAGAGGGGGAGCCCAGCAGGCCGCCCTGCCCAGGGTGTGCACTTTGGAAGGCTCTGCATTTCTACAACCTGCTTCTCGTAGCCGGAAACAGGGGTGGACGCCTGCAATCGCAGCACCCTGGGAGGCTGAGGCAGGAGGGTTGCATGCTCAAGCCCAGCCTGGGCAATCTATCAACTTAGTGAGACCCTGTCTCAAAATAAAAAAAATAAAAAGGGCTGGGGGCGGCGCTCAGAGCAAAGGCTGGAGGTGGGCGACCTAGTACCGCAGATAAAAACCAAGCAAAAGAAAACAAACACGCACGCACATGCAAACGTTCTTCAGTAATAAATCAACCTTAGCTCACTGTGACTTTTTCCCCGCATAAAATTTTTGTGTATGTTACACCCTTGGGCTCTTCTACAGTGAAATGTGGTTGAAGACAAACTCAGGATCAGCGTGCATGTTTTCCCTGTCACTGGAGCCCCAGGGAGCTGACACCACGCCTGCTGTCCTTAGCAAACTCAGTTATCTTTTGGGGGTTTGTGTGTGTATGTGTCATAGTCAGGACAATGTGTAAAAGTGCTGCATAAAATGTGTGATGTACTATATTATTTAAGTCCCCGGTGGGAAGTTCCTGTAATAGATGCATTTATATGCAACTTCTGTATGTGTTCTATGAAAATGTGTAATGTACAGTGTGACGTAAATATACTGTCTTCAATGACTGTGTATATCCATCTCATGTACAACTTATAAAATCATTGTATGAATATATATAATCAACAAGTTTGTTTTTTTTGAGACAGGGTCTTGCTATGTAGTCCAGGCTGGCCTTGAACTCACTATAGAGCCCAGGCTGGCCTCAAACTCACTATGACCCTCCTGCCTCAGCCTCCCAAATGCTGGGAAAATCAACAATATTGTATTATGTAACTATATAACCTGAAACGACTGTACCATATGCATTTTATGAAGAACTTGTAAAATCATGGTACAAATATACGTAAAATATACAATCTTATAGCATAGAGACATAAAATATATAGTCTAAAATGAATGTAATACCTCACTGAATATGCAACTTCTAATTGTGGTATGTGAAAATGTATAATATAAAATATTGGTGCTGGGGATTTAGCTTAGAGGCACAGCTGCTGCCTGGCAAGCGCTAGGTCGTCAGTTCAATTCCCGGTACCGGAAAAAAACAAAAACAAAAACAAGACAAAAAAAAAATTACATAATACAAATATGTAGTTGGAAATGACTGTCATATATCAATTTTATATACAACTTATGAAATCATTGTATAAACATATATAATATACACTATTATATAACATAACTATATAATCTGAGATGACCATAATAAATGCATTTTATAAGCAACTTCCAAGCATGTATGAAACTATTGGTTTTTTGTTTTTTTTTTTTTCCCCCGGTACCAGGAATCGAACTCACGACCTTG